TACATGACAGGAGAAAGCTCTTCAATTCATTGTACACAAATGGAGCAAAATTTTTCACTTCTCTGGTTGTGCATGAAGTAGTTACACCATTTGTGCAATCACACATATACCTAGGGTAATAATGTCCATATCATTCCACCATCTTTCCTATCCCTTTGCCCCTCCACCCTCCCCTTTGCCCCATCTAAAGTTTGATGTTATTCTTTATTGTTTTTCACTTATTTTCTCATACTTACTAAAAATTCTATTTCTCCAAGATCCTGAGATTTTAATCATCCTTTAATCTTTACCTATTTGTAGTAGGTAGACAATGATTTGTAATTTTTAATTTTTTTTTAGGGTGTGTTGCTCAGGTTGGTCTCAAATTTATGGATCTAAATGATTCTCCTGCCTCAGTCTCCTGAGTAGCTGGGACTATAGACATGTGCCCAGTTGGAGCTCACTGTCTTTTTGGATACCAGGGATTGATTAAACCCAGAGGCACTTAACCATTGAGCCATATCCCCAGTGCTTTTTCTTTTTTTGGTATTTTATTTAGAGACAGGGTCTTGCTAAGTTGCCTACGGCTCAAGTTGCTGAGGCTGGCTTTGAACTCATGATCCTCCTGCCTCAGCACTCCAGAGTTGCTGGGATTATAGGTGTGCGCCACCATGCCCAGCTGGAGCTCACTTTTGACAGGGCTAAGTTTGTGCCGTCTCCGAATTTAGGTTTTGAGGCTGTCACTCAAAAGTTTTTGTGTTTGCCTCTCCCAGGTGCTCTAGGAGCAGAGCTAGTCCAGGCACATTCTTCTTCTTCTTCTTTTTTTTTTTCCATGCTAGACAAGCATTCTACTAACTACACTATACCTCCAATTCTGGTCTGAGGAGATTGTTAATTTATACGTTTGTGTTGCCAGCCCACATAACTTAAGAGAAATTCACAGCCCAAATACATGTGAAGACAAGTTTTTCGTTATAAAAGTTCAGGGGGAAGATCCTTTTTCTTTTCCAACAGAGAATCCACGACAAAACACACAAGTTTCCTTTTATTTTCCTGTGCTAGGGATCAGACTTTTTTTCTAGTTTACCTTCTGTGCACCCACTGAAACTGTCCTTGCTTTATAATGGTGCATTATGTCCACATCTTACCTCATCTGAGCCCAAAGTTAAGTTTGCCCCCATGAATTGTTCTTTTAGTTCTCTCTGGTCACTGGAAATTACAAGTTCTATATGGTGATATGATTTGCATCATAGTTTTACTTAGCATTATTGTTATTTGGTACTGGGGCTGAACCCAGGGACACTTAACCACTCTGCCACATCCCAGCCCTTTTTAGATATTGAATCTAGATACAGGGTCTTGCTAAATTGCTGAGGCTGGTTTTAAACTTGAGATCCTCCTGCCTCAGTCTCCTGAGCTGCTGGGATCACAGGTAGGCAACACTGCACTCTGTTTTTACCCAGCATTTCTAGGTGTTTTGATCATATAAAATACACTGTTTAAAAAACATTTAAGTTACCCCGCTGGGGCACAAAGCAAGGTGGTAAAGACCATGGAACAGGCACATCAATTTGAATCCTAAGAGCTCCATTCTGTTTCCTCTTTAGTAAAATGGAGATAAGGTTAATGAGAAGATTATATGAATAAAGGATATAAGATATTTGGTATAACTTGGAGTGGTGGCCCACACCTGTAATCCTGAAAAAAGTGACTAGGAAGGCTGAAGCAGAAAGATTACATATCCAAGGCCAGCCTTGGAAATTTAGTAAGATCTGTGTCAAAATAAAAAAGGGTACAGCTCTTTAGTAGAGCACCCCAGGGTTCAATCCTTGCACCAAAGGGGGAAGAAAAAGATGCTTAGTATAGGACCTGGGATCTTATGAAATACTTAAGAAACTACATCTTGCTTTTTAGTAGTTTCTACAAAATAAAATGGTATTCATGGGACTTATTAGGAGGGTGGTGAATATGCCATAAATCTACTTTTAAAATTATCAAGAACTTGTGATACTTGACTGTGAGGGCTGGGGGTTGTGTCTCAGAGGTAGAGTGCTTGCCTGGCATGTATGAAGCACTGGGTTCAATCCTCAGCACCAAATAAAAAATAATACATAAAATAAATGTATTGTATTCATCTACAACTTAAAAAAGAGACTGTAATAACAGGCCAATTTCCAAAACTTATATATACATACAATTATTGTTAACTATTGGCAGACATAGTATGAAGCTCTGATCACAACTATGAACATATGTTTTTATAAGTTGATGAAATATCAAAATGGCGATATTACCAAAAGTTCTCTATAGGTTTAATGCAATGCCAATCAAAATCCCAACGGCATTTCTTGTAGAAATAGAGAAAGCAATCATGAAATTCATATGGAAAAATAAAAGACCCAGAATAGCAAAAACAATGCTAAGCAGGAAGTGTGAATCAGGCGGTATAGCGATACCAGACTTCAAACTATACTACAGAGCAATAGTAACAAAAACAGCATGGTACTGGTACCAAAACAGGCGGGTGGACCAATGGTACAGAATAGAGGACACAGAAACCAATCCACAAAACTACAACTATCTTATATTTGATAAAGGGGCTAAAAGCATGCAATGGAGGAAGGATAGCATCTTCAACAAATGGTGCTGGGAAAACTGGAAATCCATATGCAACAAAATGAAACTGAATCCCTTTCTCTCGCCATGCACAAAAGTTAATTCAAAATGGATCCAGGAGCTTGATATCAAATCAGAGACACGCCATCTGATAGAAGAAAAAGTTGGCTACGATCTACAGTCGGTGGGGTCGGGCTCCAAATTCCTCAATAGGACACCCATAGCACAAAAGTTAATAACTAGAATCAACAAATGGGACTTACTCAAACTAAAAAGTTTTTTCTCAGCAAAAGAAACAATAAGAGAGGTAAAATAGGGAGCCTACATCCTGGGAACAAATCTTTACTCCTCACACTTCAGATAGAGCCCTAATATCCAGAGTATACAAAGAACTCAAAAAATTAGACAATAAGATAACAAATAACCCAATCAACAAATGGGCCAAGGACCTGAACAGACACTTCTCAGAGGAGGACATACAATCAATCAACAAGTACATGAAAAAATGCTCACCATCTCTAGCAGCCAGAGAAATGCAAATCAAAACCACCCTAAGATACCATCTCACTCCAGTAAGATTGGCAGCCATTATGAAGTCAAACAACAAGTGCTGGCGAGGATGTGGGGAAAAGGGTACACTTGTACATTTCTGGTGGGACTGCAAATTGGTGCAGCCAATTTGGAAAGCAGTATGGAGATTTCTTGGAAAGCTGGGAATGGAACCACCATTTGACCCAGCTATTCCCCTTCTTGGTCTATTCCCTAAAGACCTAAAAAGAGCATGCTACAGGGACACTGCTACATCAATGTTCATAGCAGCACAATTCACAATAGCTAGACTGTGGAACCAACCTAGATGCCCTTCAATAGATGAATGGATAAAAAAAAATGTGGCATTTATACACAATGGAGTATTACTCTGCATTAAAAAATGACAAAATCATAGAATTTACAGGGAAATGGATGGCATTAGAGCAGATTATGCTAAGTGAACCTAGGCAATCCCTAAAAAACAAATGCCAAATGTCTTCTTTGATATAAGGAGAGTATCTAAGATCAGAGTAGGGACGAAGAGCAGGAGAAGAAGATTAACATTAAACTGGGATGAGAGGTGGGAGGGAAAGGGAGAGAGAAGGGAAATTGCATGGAAATGGAAGGAGACCCTCAGGGTTATACAAAATTACATACAAGAGGAAGTGAGGGGAAAGGGGAAAATAATACAAGGGGGAGAAATGAATGACAGTAGAGGGGGTAGAGAGAGAAGAGGGGAGGGGAGGGAAGGGGAGGGGGGATAGTAGAGGATAGGAAAGGCAGCAGAATACAACAGACACTAGTATGGCAATATGTAAATCAGTGGATGTGTAACTGATGTGATTCTGCAATCTGTATACGGGGTAAAAATGGGAGTTCATAACTCACTTGAATCAAAGTGTGAAATATGATATATCAAGAACTATGTAATGTTTTGAACAACCAACAATAAAAAAATTTAAAAAAATAAAAATTTAAAAAAAAAAAGTTGATGAAATAATCATTATCCCGTGAGGGCTAGGGTACAGCTCAGTGGTAGAGTACTTGCCTAGCATGTGTGAGGCTCTGGGTTCCATCCACACACACACGAAATAAGGTGCTGTAGAGGATAAATCCATAAGAACCGAAGTTGCACACATATTTTTGTTATAGAACTCTCTTATAATTAGAACTATGTAAAATTTTAACAGACTAAACAAAAGGTACACTGGTCACTTTTAAGTATTCAAAAGCAGAAACTAAGAGACTATTTAGAACAGAAAGGATTCCAGTACTGGGAAAAGTTAGATGCCAATGGTGAACTAGAAAGAGAAAAACTGTTTGGCGGGGCAGGGGTAGGGAAGTGCTAGGGATTGAATCTAGGAGTGCTCTGCCACTGAGCTATATCGACAACTCTTTTTTTTGAGATAGGATCTTGCTCAGTTGCTGAGGCTGACTGACATGAACTTTGATCCTCCTGCCTTAGCCTCCCAAGTGGCTGGTATTATAATCAAGCACCACCATACCCAGCTGACAAGATCTATTTGGATGATAGGAATATTTGGATAACTGATTTGTGATCCTAATTTAAAAGTTCCAGTGAATACTGCATTAAAGGAAAAGACAAAAGGAAAACACCAAATAGAACTTTTTAAATAAGTTAGGAAGTCTGAAAGCCAAATGTGGGTGTTTGTTTTTCTTTTAGATTAAATTAAATAACATCAGATTATTTCTCAGGCCTGGTTCCATTCCAAGTCAGTAACACCAACATCAGAGTTTGTTTCCCAATGCTTTTTCTTGTAATTACATTGTTATCTTCCTCTTTTGCATTTCAGACACCTATTTCAAGATAAGCCCAAATGTTAAACTACTAAAAAAAAAAAAAAAGTCACAGAAAAGTCAGAATTAAATTTTATTTCACATTTATAGAAACTGTGAAAAACACCGACATTTTCCCATGTTACAGCACAACATTTCAACGGAATATTTCTTGCCATAAATAAGATCTTACTGATTTGTATAACTGAAATTAAACAGTTTTTGTTCTTCAAGTTAAAATAAAAATGACTTAGTACATGATTGTTTAAAATTTTCAAATCCAGACATAAACATATGGCTTCATTATTAACATCCTATATTGTCCATTACGAAATTATTTCCATTATCAATTAGCACCCATTTATAAAGATGCATTCTTAACATTGTTTTGGTCAGTTGGAGTACAGAAAAAAAATTAACAGTTCAGAAATATTAAGCATACATTTTTGCAATATACTAAATTGTGAGGGTACTACATCATATATATAGGGGGGGTCTGATTAATTTTTATTACCCATAAATTTGTTTTCAAATAATTTTTATCAGTAATCTGGAAAATCTAATGCATATTAACCAAAGAATTGCTTTTTTGATATTGAAAATTTAACCCAGGGGTACTTTACCACTGAGCTTTATCCTCATCCCTTTTTATTTTTTATTTTGAAGACCGGGTCTTGCTAAATTGCTTAGGGTCTCTCTAAGTTGGTGAGGCTGGCCTTGAAATTGTGATCCTCCTGCCTCAGCCTCCAGAGTTGCTGGGATTACAGGCATAATTTTAAAAATCATTTGACTCAACTGAAAATTTCAAATAAGTACACTGGCAGACAAAAATAAAGCAACTTTTTCTAATGGACAGCTCATTTTCTGTAGTAGTTGGTTTCAAACATATATATATAGAGAGAGAGAAAAAGTAAATCTAAACCGTATGCTATAAGACCCAATCATTTTAGAAACCAGTTTTTAAGATCAATCTCAAATATTTCAGAAAATTCAAAATATGACCTAATTAGTCTTTCAGTTGTTTACAGAAAAAATAAAACTACAGACAGAATTGTTCTTATTGATTGAATATTCTAATAACTAAACAGGTCTAAATTTGGACTAAGGTATAGTTTTTGAAATATGTAGTACAGGGAGTTTAAATAATGTTCAATTTCTTTTAAAGCATACATTGATCTTAAATATCCTATGTCAGTGATTCAGATGTCTATGGCAAGGAAGCAATAACTGGTCTGCTACTGAAGGACAATCAAGAAAGAAAGGACTTTTATTTTTCTCGAGAGAAAAGAATATTAAATAGAAATAATATCAAGGAAAAGAACAGCCTGGTCCCCCAAATAAAAGGACAATTAATTGAAAAGAGCAACACTATTCTCTGTTGACACTTATAAGCATTATCCCTATTATCAGGAATAATGTAACACCATCTAATTGTATGTATTACCATCATTATGTATATACGAATATATATATATTAAAAAATACAGATACTGCATGGTGACTAAGCAATTTTGGAATAAATCCATAGACCAAGTCACAGCATGCATAAATTGTTTATATCTTGATTGCTTGTTTATACTGAAACAAATTTTTGTCAAGCATACTAGTAATTTTCAAATGATATGATAAAAAATTTGGTTGTAGTATTTTATTTTGCTCAATTACATTTAAGAAAAAGAAGCTAGGTGCTTCACCTATTTTAATACTAGTGTAGTCTGGATCATCGTATACAAATACATGTATAGAAACTTAAAAGATCCTAGGTTTCCCACGGAGGAGCCATTATTTTGTCTGTATCATTGGTGTGTATCTGCAAAACATTTCAACACTGCAAACATTAAAAGTTTTAAAGTTGAGCATGGGAAAAGGTTTAGACTCTACTGCAATGATGCTGGTGTACGTCTACACAAGGCCTCTTAGTGATGTCAATCAACCGGAGGTAGGAGTTTATCAATGAATTGCTTGACATCCATCATTTCCTGTTTGAGATAAAGTTAAATTAGGCAGCAGCAACGTAAGTCAGAAATTAAATCCTCACTAAAATGTCATTAATGAAATCCAAGTAGGAGCATAGGTAAGCTGAAGTCTCATTTTTATTTCTATAATAAAGAGACATGAAAGAAAAATGAGGGCTAGGTTTGTGGCTTAGTTGTGGAGCACTTGCCTGGCATGTGTAAGGCACTGGGTTCAATTCTCAGTGTCACAAATAAAATTAAGTAAATAAAATAAAGGTCCATCAAAAACTAAAAAAAAAAAAATTAAAAGAAAAATGAGGCTTTAATAGAAATTTCATAACATACCCTATGATGATCATCATATACTGAAATGATAGCTTCTGATTATTATCTAGTTTCCATGAAAATGGTTTACATTTTCTGATATTTAAATAAAATAAAGCACTGGGGAATGTAGAAGTTTAGAAGTTACAGTACATATACCAAGAAGACTTGGTAAGTGCATAGTAACTGACAATCAAGTCTCACTTCTACCATTCCCTCATTAGAATGAAATGCTAAATCTATAGCATAAACTATTTTGTGCCTTTAATAAGGAATTACATACAACTAACCATCAGAAAGAAAGAACATACCTAAGATAGGCCTGGAAGGATCTGAATATAAGAACAAACTTCCTCCTGGAAGCCTCCTGCGTTGAGTGTGGCTCACAGTTTTCCCATCTCCCTCAAACCCACTTCCTGCCTTTTACACTTGAAGGCCTTGGCCTCACTGTTCCACAAATCATTGATACAGAGAACCTTCAACTTTATAATTTAGTCACTCAGAAAAGAAGCGTGCAAATGGTCCTGAGTTCAACTCTGGTACCACACACACACACAAAAAAAAGCAGGGTACCTGTGATGCTCTAAACCCTCAGTCCCTCCTGGGTACTTAGGATGCCAGCACCTCCCTCTCCCCTCTCAGTGCACTCAATATTTCATAGGATATCAAGCCCCTTGTCTTTCTGGATAAGAAAAAGTGGGTAGTAATATGACTTATCTCTAAAGCAAGTGAATTAACCAGGCTGAATGGCTATAAAACAGTGTTGCATGGACTATTTCACTGCTTAGCCATCAATCTTTTTTCTTTATTTTTATGTGGTGCTAAGGATGGAACCCAGGGCCTCACATGTGCGTGCAAGACTAGCGCTCTACCGCTGAACCACACCCCCGCTTTCATTCTTATCAAATGATCACATCTCCTACTTTACTGAAAAAGCATCTAATGTAAGCTCTCAAATAAATAATCTTTTTTCTACCCTGACATCTGTTTACATTCACCTATTCTCTTTTATTTTGATTTCAAGTATTTTCTCCTATGGTAGTACAACTCATCTATAGTCTTAATTCTACTATATGATCCTCCAGACTTCCTCCTCTCAATTATCTTTTTTCCATTGCATCCTCCCTTCACCACAGGTCTTTCTCCCATCTAAAAATGAGACTTCCTACTCTTCACCAAAAGTTTTTTTTTTTTTTTTTTAAAAAGGTCTGTATTCCACTCTCTACTTTCTCGTCTCCCCATCTACGTCACATGGTCCACTGTAGTTTGACTTTTCCTTCCCAAACAACCAAGGTCAGAGATGGCTTAACACTGGACAGTTCCTTCCTGGCCTCTCTCTCTTTAATCCTCTGACATACGTGATACTGCTCTTTCCTGTAGAAATTCTCTTCCCCCATACTTTCAAACACCTACTCCTCTTTTCTTTAGCCTGAATTCAAATGTATCCCCCAAAGTTCTCTCTCTCAGCTTTTTTGATGATGAGGTTCTGAGTACACTATTCTTCACTGATCCACAATACTGGTAATTATTCCAAGTCTCCATTTACAGGCTTGAGCTACAGACAAGTATTTCTAACACCCTATTTTGATACAGTAGGGGTACATCTCAAAATGGTCACAAAACTCAGTATTATCTCCTGCCTGTTACTCTAAAATTGCTCCTTGTACCTACTTTATGATGGCATCTTTGGCATCTGAGCTAAAAAATCTGGGACCTCTTTGAAACCTCCTACTTTCCTACATATAGAATTAACTTCTAAATTCTATAGGCGTTCTTCTCACCTGCTCTGGCATGTAGATTACATCACATCTCTCACTTTGATCAACACTGATGGTTTCCTGCTGTCTAGAGAACAAGCCGCTCCCTGTCTCTTCTGTCCTACAACATCTAGCTTTTCATAAAACTTTGGCCAAAATGGACATTTTTTTCTTATTGCCCTATAGACCTTACCTGCATATTTCCTATCTGTATTCTGCTCATTCCTCAAAATCCAGCTCTTTTATTATGATACCAGCACTTCCTAAAATAAAATTAATCTCACCTGTCTCAGTTTTTCAGGGCACTATTTTTTTTTTTTTTTTTGTGGTTCTAGGGATTAAACCCACTAAAATATATCCCTAGCCCTTTTTATTTTAAGATAATCTCCTAAATTGCCCAGGTTGGCCTTGAACTTTCCTTATTCCTCCCTTAGCCTTCAGTAGCTGGGATTACAGGTGTGTACCACCCATACTTAGTTACAGGTACTTTTTTTATTTTTATTATTTTTAAATTTTCTTTTTTTAGTTTTAGATGGAAATAATATCTTTATTTTATTTTTTTATGTGGTGCTGAGGATCAAACCCAGTGCCTCACGCACGCCAGATGAGCGCGCTACCACTTGAGCCACATCCCGAGCCCCCAGGATACTTTTTTATAATAATGTTTTTTTTTTTAAAGAGAGAGAGAGAGAGAGAGAGAGAGAGAGAGAGAGAGAGAATTTCTTAATATTTTATTTTTTCAATTTTCGGCAGACACAACATCTTTATTTGTATGTGGTGCTGAGGATCGAACCCGGGCCCGCAGGCATGCCAGGCGAGTGCGCTACCGCTTGAGCCACATCCCCAGTCCACTTTTTTATTTTTTAATTTATTTAAATTTTTTTGTGGTACTGGGGATTGAACCAAGGGGTGCTTATACCAGCCCTTTTTATTGTTTATTTTGAGTCAGGGTCTTGCTAAATTGCTGAGACTGGTCTCAATCTTGCAATCCTCCTGCTTTGGCCTCCACAATAGCAGAGTATGTGCCACCACACCTGGATGACTGCAGGGTAGTTTTCAAAAACTGCTACTAGAGCACATATCATGTTCTGTTTCCTGTTAGATACTTGGATAAACATCTTTCTCCTATTAAGTGTTAATTAATTAACCTTAAATTTTAATAATTAAAAGGGAATATTTATTATTCACTTTTGCTTTTTGTATGATTTCTATGTGTGATGGACAATGAGGGATTTGTGGAATTTTAGTGACTAAACGTTTGAAGACTTGCTAACCTAAGATTTAAACTGAACTCATTAACTCTTTTAAGTCCCCAAGTGTCAAATGTTATTGATCTTAAAAATATCACATAAAGAAGTTGCAACTATGACTCTGATCACTGTTTCCAGATACCTACCTGTTGACATGAACAGTGCATCATGCCTTCATAGATTTTGAAGGTTACATTTGCTGGATTTACCAAAGTCTTTAGTTTTTCAACAGTAAGAGAACCAAACATTAGCGGAACTAAAGGATCACAATCTCCATGGCACTGAAGAATAGATAGCTCTCTATTAGGGCCGCTGATGGGACTCTGCAAAACAGAATAAAAGTACCAGTTAGTCACATGTATAAAGCATCATGCCAGATACTTAAAACTGTACACAGAGTAATAACAAACATGTTATTACTTATTATTTCAGGTGATATTTGACCAAAGAAATAAAATTCCTTCCTCTCTTCTCCAGGTCTCTTTATTTAAAATTCTATAGAATGATTGCCTTGTTTTATAACACATCTTCCCAATGAACCCATTTCTTGAAATCTATTACATCTTAATTCATTTCTATATTTTCAGTGTCTTGATATGAGAAGTAATTAATATCTATTAGGATACATTAGATTAATCATGTTCTTTTTCAGTTTTATTTAATTGATTTTAATAAGCAGTTAATAAACAATACCTAGTAAGTGCAAGAAACCAAAGAGTTATTAAATAATAATAAGACAAAACCCTAGATTTAAAAATAAATTTGGGGCTGGGAAAATAACTCAGTGGTCGTGTGCTTGCTATGCACAAGGACTTGTGTTTGACCCCCAGCACCAACCCCCCCTAAAAAAAAGAATTTGAAAATAATGTCTACATTTCCCATGTGTCTTATATATTGCTTCACTGTTGAATATTTAGAAATTATATTCTATAGTAAAATTCTGCTATCAAACCCTGATACTAAAAAATAGTTCTGTGTATTAAAAAAATAGCCCTAATTTCCATATACCCCTTAAAATATAAAATATAAATCAAATAAAAGATTTATGACCTAAGGCTTATTTCTTATTCCATTCTATGCAATCCACAATAAAGACAATAAAGAGTGTGTAGGTAAAGTCTAGTAACACTTTACAAAGGCCCAAGGAAATTCTTTTTTAAAAAGGACGACTGAGCCAAGCATGGTGACACATCTGTAATCCCGGTCACTGGGAGGCCGAGGCAGCCCCAACAACTCAGCGAAGCCCTAGGCAACTTAGTGAGACCCTGTCTCAAAATAAAAAATAAAAAAGAGCTGGGAACATGGTTCAGTAGTTAAGCACCACTGGGGTCAGTCCCTGGTAATATAAAAAAAAAAAAAAAACACAGTAAGATAAAATAAATAAAATAAAATTTAAAAAGGATGACTGATATAAACCATGTAGTAATGATGCCTCACTTAGGTCTATTGATTTTAAGGAAGGTCCCACTGTGGTGTGGGATTTCCACAATGGGAAGTTTACTTTCTGTTCAATTTTGCTATAAAACGAAAACTGCTAAAATAAATAAATAAAGTTTCTTGATTTAAATAAAAAGGATGACCTCCTCAACATTATCTGCTACCTCTTAGCTCAGAAATCTAAACCAGGCTACCTGTGGGAATGAAGCCCGGAGTGGAAGCCAACAACTGAGTGCAGTGACACCTGCCAGTTTCTGCTGTGTGGTGAGAGCAGTGTACAAAGACAAGGCTCCTCCCTGGAAAGCAAGCAGGGAAAGTCAATGGAAAATCCACACTCTGCTAACACAATATAGGAAATTTCTTGTTATTAATGATGTCCATGAAGATATCAACTGAGTGGCCAATGTCAAATCAAATCAGACAAACAGTGGGAATGCATACCCTTAATGCACACAGCTCTCTACACCAAAGAGAACATACCAACTACCCAGTCAAGACACAGACAATAAATAGTATAGTAAACTATTTACAGCATGCCTTAGGAATATTCTGAACTTAGTTATCATTTTCTCTTATGAGAAGTCTCAGGTCTAAAATCCAATCTTGTCTTAAATTAGTACTATTTTCTAAAAGTGGGAATCAAGACAACAAGGACAGTGTAGCAGACATCTTTAGAGTATCTGCCCACCCAGTTCAAAACATCCCATGTCCTGGGAACTATAATCCTGCAGCCATCTAGATGCCTATCACCCTGATTGTGCCCATATGCCACTGCTAGGGACATCCCAGACACTGATGGTTGTTTTCCCAGGAACTGTGGAACTGGGATTCAGTGACTGTAGGCAGTCTCTTTGTGTGGCTGGAACTGTAACATGTAAACTCAAGAGCTGAAAAATTACAAGCTGCAAGAGCTAAGATGGCCAACAAATGATAGAGAAGCAAATGAGGCAAGTGAGCTGACAAAGAAAGCTGAAGGAGAGAAAAGTCCTGATGGCTTTCCAGGTTCCTGCTACTTCCTGAGTCCATACTTTATTTTTAGGCATGGTCTCCCTGTAATGATACTACAGACTCTTTTTTTTTTTTTCAAAGATATATATATATATATATATATATATATATATATATATATATATAGAGAGAGAGAGAGAGAGAGAGAGAGAGAGAGAAATTTTTTGTAATATTTATTTTTTAGTTTTCGGCAGACACAACATCTTTGTTTGTATGTGGTGCTGAGAATCGAACCCGGGCCGCACGCATGCCAGGCAAGCGCGCTACCGCTTGAGCCACATCCCCAGCCCTACTACAGACTCTTAACTTAATCCTTCTTGCTTAAACTCATGATGTTCCATCATTCCACACATAGGTATTAGGGATTGTTTTCTGTAGGCTGTTATCAATAAATCTCAAATAGACAAGACTCCCAGGTACACTTCATATTTTGAATCAAGCATTAATTTTTGTGTCTTATGTTTCTGTCAAGATGTGTATTATGCACATTATTTCAACAAACACCTTATCAGTAACTCCTTTTTACTGTATTGTATCAACAATCTTATGTTTATACTGAATTCTATTCTCTCAATAATTCTAGAATTCTGACATTAGCCTAAGTAAGGGAACACTCAGTTGCTGATTTAGAAGATTTGTAGATTAGAAGCTAGAGCATTCTAGGACAGGTGATATGGAAACAGGTGAAAAGCTGAAGTAAAGACATGAGGCCAACACAAGGGAACCGTGGCTGTTAAAAAAGTACAAGGCGGAGAAAAAGTAAAGACAGGAAGAAAGATACCAAAATAAACTTTACACATTTATATTTAAAACCTATTTTTATATAACAAAAAAGGGAAAGACATTATTTTTCTCTCATCATCTACCTATTGTTTCTAGTCCAAGTCACCTAGAACAAGGGACTTATGCCTGTATGATCAAAGTTCTAATTAATTAAAAGGGTACATAGCGTTAACTTAAAAACCTAACCACAGTGTTGTTATTGTTATTTTAAGAAAATACATTTCAGGTTTCAATCAGTTTCCTTAATAAATTGATTCTGAAGACAATCTAAAAGACAAAGGTTATTGCTAAGGACACAGAAAACTAGGAAAGCAAAAATGTATCTAAAGTGAAAATTAACTAGTTTTAATCCAAACTTAATTCAGCATTAACATCCATCAAGATTCTATAATTCTTCCATAGAAAATGACTGAAATCTTAGATTTCTAGATAAATATACTGATGGTACTGACATACCACTCAAACTTTAACTTACCTGAGAAAATCCTCCCAAAATAATTCTGTTAGATGGAATGCCATTCTTCACTTCTTGATCTATCAAAGCTTTTACTAAAAACAAGAAAGTTAATCACAAATGCTTTCAAAGTTAAGCCCAGAGATGCAATATAAAATAGGAAAAAAAAAATAATAGAAAAGCACTAAGTATATTCAAGGTGAAAATGAGTGAAAAACCTGAAGCACTCAGTTAAAACACAAAATCAGAATGTCTTTTCATTATGAAACTTCTCAGATTTTGCAGGTGCTGTATAACTTAAAATTTCAACAATTTCTTGTCACTTTGTAATACTCTTTCTTCATTGAGAGGTGGATATTCTTGCCCAGTATGGTGGTGCACTCTTATAATCCCAGCCACTCAGGGGGCTGAGGCAGAAGGACTCCAAGTTGAAGGCCAACCTGAATAACTTAGTGAGACCATGTCTCAAACTAAAATAAGGGCTGGGGTACTGCTCAGTGGCAGAGCACTTGCCTAGCATGCATGAGGCCCAGGATTCAACAGGGGGGGTAGGGTGTATGCATACGTTTTAATTCATGGTTAATTCTGCTCATATACATTTTATATTTCTCTTAAAAAACTATAGGGCATTTATACCTAAAAGTCATCATTTTAAAATAGCATATAGTTTTTTTTTTTTTTCTCCCAGAGTTGAGGAGTAAGCCCATGACCTCACACATGCTAGGCAAGCATTCTACCACTGAGCTACATTCTCAGTCCTTTTTTTTAAAACAAATATCATTATTGTATTTTGAGACAGAGTCTCACCAAATTGCCTAGGCTGGCCTGAAACTTGGGATCTTCCTGACTTGGCCTCCTGAGTTTCTGGGATTACAGGTGTGTGCCACTGTGACACCTGAGTTAAATAGCATATAGGATTACATGTTTTGTGATTTACAGTATTTCAAACTGTTCATTCTAATTCTTAAAAGTATCAGTAAAATTTTCCTATAGTCAGTAAATAATTGATGAGGGAAGAATTTCAAATAAGTACTTTTGTTTCTACAACATACCTTGACATGCACCATACAAATGTAAGTATTTAACAACTCCTGGAATTTTCTTTTTCCTTATTATTAATCTTGTGTTTCATGGATAACTTGACATTTTACAAATCTGCCTGATGTTTTACATACATACATTCTTTCATGTTTTTAAAAAATCAGAATCTCTGATTTTATATTTCCTTTTTTATCAAAAACAAAAAACTTTTGTATTGCCATCTATCTTAGCTGGCGACCTAATGCTGCGTTCACAAAATCTGACTATTCCAATAACTTAAGAAAGCAGGCAAATATACAGAGGTATCTTTTCAAAATCTCCGACCTTAAGGATCCATGGAAAGAGAGCGAGCCACTGGAATTCTTTATTCTTATATAGCGGACACACAAGGGGAGGTTCCATGGAACATTCTATCCCAACAAGGGCAAAGGGATAGGATTACAAAGGAACGGATAAGTGTAACTCAACCCCAGTGGGTGACGCCTACTCCTAGAGCCACGCCTTGTTATCTGAACTGGGGTGACGGCCAAATTAGTGCAACCTGGCACTACCATGTCAGATTGAGGCAATAATTGTTCAGAACCCCAGTGCATCAGGACTTAAAGGCGTCTGCATGCAGGGCAGCTCCCAACAACTCTGCTTTTATTAAAATACCAAAAAATGTCCAAATTAAAAGTTATTTTTGATTTACATAAAATTAGTTCTTTAGTTAGAATTAGTATAAAAAAGCAAGGGTACTCTAACTATTTTGAAAAGCACAGTATAATGTGTTAGACACCAGGAAATGAGGCTTAAGGAACTGTTAAGAAGTATGAGGGACTGATTAGGGGGAAACCGCACAGCCGCAGCTGGAGATAAAAAGATGCCGAAGGGGCAGAAACAGCCCAGCTTCTAGGAGAGTGGGGGCAGAGGGCAGCAGAGGCTGGGCTCAAGGAACGTTACTACCAGTCAGTCAGGAAGCACTTGAGAGTTTTTCCCTCAGTTTCACAAAGCTTAGCTCCTTACAGTTACACCCAGTGGCTGAGGTAAAGGCCTCTGGACAAGGCACAATGACAGCAGTCAGCTGTGGAGAGGCAGGTTTTAATTTCAATGACCTTCACCCTAAGGGCAGGAGCAGTACTACTTCCGAGAACCTCAATGGAGCACTCTGCTTTTTTCAGTAGCACATTCTCTCTGCCTTTTTTCCCCTAACTCTAATTCTTACTCTCTCCAGTAACTGGTGGCTTGGAAAGTAAAGCAGTGACAAGTATTTCATGGGCCAACTCCACTGTCAAGACAGGATTTCTCTCATTCTGGAAACCATGAGGCCCACCTGTCTTTTCCACAGGGCCTATTCAGCCCCTCCCGGTTTTCCATAGGGTCCAACACTTACTCAATATCTAGATATATATTTTTATTATCTGTTATTTTTAGACAAAAATGTTAACTCTAGGATAGCTTTGATCTACTTCTGATGATCTAATAAAAGTCAGTATTCATTGGATTTTCCCAAACATCCAATGTCTTTTGAATGTATTTTCTCTTTCTTAAAGATCATAACAGTTCTTTAAAAAAGATTAAGACTCTTACTAGGCTTGGGTTTCTAATTCTATTTTTAAAAATTTCAACAACTACAAAAGTATGAAGAGTAATGAAATAATTCCTTGGGATCCTTCCTTTGATCATTCTACATCACCTTAATTCTCTAATTATCAATTCACAGTCACAATTGTTTTGCTGATGCCACCATCCAGGAGCCACTACCCAGATTATTCTGAAGTCAATCCTAATCATTACATTGTTCTACCTGTAAATAATTCGGCTCATACATGTAAAAGGAAAGGATGCGTCTGTGCATTTTTACAAACTATCAAACTTTCAGTAAGTTAATGTTCTTATGCTTTCACCCACAAAATAAGCTGAGTTATGTTCATAAAGGAGAATGCAATACTACCCATAAAATTGACTTTGGAGATTCTGTAAAGTTTAGCTAATACTTGCACAAAAGCGTTAAGTGAAGACAATTTACAGGAGAAACACTTAGTTTATGAACAGCTAATTAATTCGTGATGTATTATTGTGACACTAATATTCGACTTTAATATCATTTTCATTTTTTATTAACCTTATATCATTATGTTCTGTACATCATTATTTTTATCATATTTCATATCTCCTTAATGAAGAGAACTAGCCACAACTACTAAACACTGTTCTATTTTCTCCATTTGCCTACTCTGTGAATCAAAGCAAAATTCTTATATCTGACAGAGCTGAAACTGACAAATGCTTCCTCCCCATCCACCTCACCTCCATCAACCACAACTGAGTCCATGTAGACATGGCAGCAAACCAGTCAGAGTGATCAGAAAGGAAGGAAACAGCACAACCTCCTGAGATCATATAGCTGGGTCATATCTAATCAGTATCAATGTAATTACTCAGTCAAATAAAAGCATTTAGCGATGCCTTCGCTGTTACAAAAATTTTCTATACTTACCATTTTCTGCCGCTTGTTTAATTCCAGGTTCATCCTCCTGAGCATCTGGTGAAAGTCCAATGATATCAAACCTAGAAAATGAGGCCAAACCTTGAAAGAACCATTCGATTCTGAAAACGTCTATTCTTGGCGAGGATGTTTTATTAAATTCATGGTAGTGTGTATAAAAAGCACTGACCAAAGATAACCCTCTACAACTTGAAACTCACGTTAATATGTCTACAGAGGTCATACAACTAACTTAAAACACATGACTCTGACCTTCTGTATGTTCCTTTCATTCTAACTAGATTCAGATGCTAATGTTAAAAAGTCACAGTGTCACATAATATTAGGATGAGAAGAGCCTAAAATATTAGTCTAACCTTACACTCAAGCAAAAGCAAAAACAAAATAAAAAACCCAAAAACAACCCCTTGGTATTTCAACCCTCAATCCTGAAAATTTTGTAATAAATTCCAGCCATTCCTATCCTTTTCTGTATTCTAAATCAATTCAATGGAATGATTCCTTTTCTGTATCATGTTACTCTTGTATGTACCACCTCATACCCATCAAACATTAGTACTTATAGTGATCTTTATTCATTCCCCATTATGCATTATAACCACCTCAAACCAGAAATCAAGGAAAATCTTCCATTTGCTCTCTCTAATTCTCTATCTGGTTATATGCTCACATTATGGTCTCTACAACATTAGTAGAAATTTTAGTTCAAGGATCAGGATTTTTGTCAGACACAGAGATAAAATAAGGTATGTAGAAACTTGGAAACATTCATGGAATCCAAAGTAGATAAAAAGGGAAGTGGAGGGTGGGTAGAAAAAGTAGTGGGGACAAAGACAACAGACTGGAGGTCCTGATGAGGTCTCAGAATAAACAGTATGGAAACAAGGAAATAAACCCAATGGATATGCAATTATTATGTTACTATTCAGGGGTGAATTAAGTAACTTCAGAGATGAGACAGTTTCAGATGACAAGACTCCAGGAATGACAGTGGATGACCAAAGTTAAGAAGAAGGGGAAAAAAAAAAAAAAAAACCTGGGAAAGAGAAAAGGTGAAAGAACTAGGAAGCCAGTCAAGTTGTAAATGGGCCACTTAAATTGGACCCTGTGGTCACCCAAACAGTAAAATAGTGGCAGAAGCTGAAGTAGAAGACAAAATGTCAAAGCCATCATTTTTTGGAAACACCTGATGACAAGAGTCTCAGAGAACCGCAGAGAGAAATCATATAAGATAATAAAGAGAAATGAGAAACTAAACCTACTTCCTGACCATAAAGTAAACAACAAATGTGAGAATGGGAAGTGGCTTCTTTAAAAATTAACCAGCTCTCCAGAAGGAGAAAAAACTGGAAGGATAAAGAGACTGTGGCTTAATTAGAGTGAACCACATCGGATCATTCAGAGGTTTGGTGACTGAAGTCAACAAAGGCCTATCAAACAGAAAGATATTTTCCCAAAATATTTCTATGTACCCATTTATTCATGTTTCTGTTTATATAATTCCTTATGTTTATTCACAGATCTAAAGCATAAAACCTTAAATAAGGTTAATGTTTGTAACTTTGCAATTAAAAAAATAACTAAATAAAGACTGTTATACACAAAAGCACTTGTAATGAAAAACTAAAGAGTTCTGATTGAATAAGTAAATTCTAACTTACCAAGAAGGCATAGCCATTTTCATATTCAATGTAACAGGCATAACTGGCCTATACGGGAGAGAAAAAAAAAGCAAAATAATAACAGAGCACAAAACCTGATAAATTCAACCAATCAAAAATAAATTACGTGAGGCTCACACAAAACTGCTACAATTTTAACATATGTTTTATGCATCTTTTCCTGAATAACTATGATCTCTGCCCTCCAAGTGTGCTCTGAGGACACAGCAGCAGCTGTGAAGGATTAAGCTTGGCAAATAAGAAAATGTCCTCAACACACTTACTTAATACTTACAACTTCTCAGACATGAGAAGGGAAGCCAAGAACCAAGACGGTTGGAAGCATAAAATATGAGACAATTAGAGCAAATTTTTTGAGAATTGAAATGGCAAACTTCAATTCTCATAACTCAGATCACATTTTTCTTATCATCTAGTTCTTAGCTATGCACCTGCTTAAGAGACCTCTAAATAAATGTAAGATTTGCCTAAGTGTCCAGTATATCCAATTCAAATCTGAGATGAAAAATATAACAGATTATGTGAATTTAGCCAGGTACAAAAGGAAAGAAAAATAAACACACTATAAACACATTTCATGACTATTCTCATCATTTGTGTAACACATCTCTCTATATATTTCTTTGAAATTTTAAACATCTATATCTAAATTTGATGATATAAACATCCCCTAGGCTGTGAAATAGCCTTACAGCAATTCAATCTGGGGAAAATAACAATACAGCAGAAATTCTGACATAGTAAGACTTCTGTCTCTTGTTTGAATAGATTAATAGAAGACACAGCCACACTACACCACAGTGTTCAGATGTAGCTGGAAGTAAAACAGACCCTCTATTTCTGAATAAAAAGAGAAAGAAAATTTTTCTTTCCTAATCTCAGATAATACTCCTTTCCCCATATTCATGTATGTCTCAACTGTACTGCTCTTCCCACTTCTCAGGATGAGTTACTAACCTACCCCCATGTACCCCACCCTTCTGTCTTCTCCATAGCTACTTCCCCTCAGCAACCTCTTGACAGGAAACTTGCTAAACTTATTGATTTTTCTGCATTTACTCAGAAGTTGCCACTTCCTTTTTGACAGAATCAGAAATTGAAACCAAATATTTTGAAATTTTGAAAGTTTGTTCTGTCCACAGTACATCACATTGTCTCTGATAAAATTCAAGAGTGTTTTTAACATAATAATTTTTGAAAATCTGGCAGGTAGATCCCCTTCATAGATATCCCTGGGATATCCTTAGAACTTTACATATATTTAAATATCCAAAATAATTTTCCTGACTTTACGTTCAGCTGATCTCTAGGAGAGTAATATTTAAATTTCTTAAGTAAAAAAGGAAAAAAAGTTTCATTTTAACCACGAATTCTAGTTTTAAGAAATTCTGAAATTAAGAAATTAGTTTTAAGGAGTTCTAATCTTTAATCTTAAACTGAAGATTTAAGGGATAAAAATTAATTATATTCAAATGCTTTTCTGAAAAAGTAAATCTATTATAATTGTTCCTCCCCAGATTTTGAACCACAAAAGCCTAAAGACTAGAAATACTCACGCATGCGGGCAGATATATTTGATATGTGAACTTCTGATACCTGCAAAAGCTTCTGCCCATCCGTGCCTGGTGGAGAAATTATTTGGATAATGCTATTAACTACTGTTTTAAATTGCAAAAAAATAGTACTTAGAAATTTTGTGAGGATAAATGTTAGTTCCTAAAAATACCTTAAATGTGGACCATCAAAGCTATTAAAACACCACCATGAATCTAGAAACAACCTAAACAAAGCTGTTATTTAGTCTTTATCTATACATAAAGATTATCTCTCATGATTTCTGAACAGCAATGTATACTCCTTCATATATTTCCACTAGGTTTCCTAATTTTCTGAAAATTCATATGCATATTTTTTACAACCAGATCCCCATAAAGTAGGCAAAACATATAACTCTGGAAAAAGCCTCGGAGGAATAAAGTAAATCACTTTTCTAACATCTCTGCATGCTTACATTATTACAAACAACTTTAACATTTTCCTTTTATATATATATATATATATATATATATATATATATATGCAAAAATTTATACATGCTTAAAATACAATACAGAAAAACTGAAAAATGTAAATCCTAATAATCCTAGCCAGAAATAGCTAATCTTTTGGTATAATTCCTTTCAAGTATATCAAATAAGAAACAGATCATGGTTTTGGCACAGAAGGGACATACTGTTCAGTTTCTTGCTTATTTACACTTGATATTTCATGCTTTTTTTACATGTTATCTCTACTGAAGGATAAAGGTCTTTGTTTTGTAAAATTTTTTGGAAATAAGTCTTGAATACTTTGGCAAGCTATTATTCTGTTTTAATCCACCTCTTCCAAAATGTTAAAGACATAAAAAGATTTAAAATAACAGTATCAACGGTACATAACACCAAGTATGAGCCAGTCTATTTGTACATGTGCAAGTTCATGTGTGTATGTTGTGGGTATATGTCAGGGTATCTATTTTAAAGATTTTACTCTAAAAGCTACAAAACATGAAATTAAAAGAAATTTAAAAGTTGGATAAATGGAAAGACATCCTATGTTCAAGGACTGGAAAACACTATTTTTAATATGGCAGTACTCCTTAAATTAACCTAGAGTCAACACAATCCTTATCAGAATCCCAGATGAGTTTGCAGAAATTGATGCTAATTCAAGATGCACATGGAAACTCAAGAGACCCAGAATAACCAAAACAATCTTGCAAAAGTTGGAGGACTAACAAAAGTTACTAAAAAAATCAACAGCCGTAGTACTGGGGCAAAGACAGATAAATAAGCCAATCAAGAATCCAAATATAAACCCTCACGTGTACTGTCAATTAAGCACCAGAACAAGCCTGGTGCAGTGGTACATGTCCATAATTCCAGTAACACAGGAGGCTGAGGCAGGAGGATTGCAAGTTCAAAGTTAGCCTTGGCAACTTAGTGAAACCTTGTCTCAAAAAAAAAAAAAAAAAAAATTAAAAGCTGAAAATGTAGCTCAGTGGTTTCATAATAGAGTGCCTCTAGGTTCAATCCCTAGTACTGTCTGAAAAACAAACAAAACCCAAACCAAACCTACCCCCGCAAAACCCATATTAATGGTGAAGGAATAATCTTTTCAACAAATGGGAAAGTAGATATCTACATGAGATGGAAGGAAGCTAGACTGCTACCTCACACCATACATAAAAATTAACTCAAAATAGGCCAAAGATTTAAATATAGTAGATAAAACTATAAAATTTCCAGGAAAAATACATAACTTTTTTGTGACCCAGGACTTGGTAATGTTTTCTTAGGACACTGAACGCATAATCACAAGAAAAAAAAATAGATAAATTAGAAATCATCACAATGAAAAACTGATGGTCTTCAAAAGACACTATAAAAAAGTTAAAAGACAATGTACACAATAGGAAAAATATTTGTAAAATCATATCCCTAATAAAAGTTTAATATTTGTAATACATTCAGAACTCTTAAAACTCATAAACAAACAAAAAACCCCACCATTTTACAAAAGGGCAAAGAACCTGAAGAGACACTTCTTCAAGGATATACACATGGCCAACAATCACAGGAAAAGATGCTTGCTCTTCATTAGTCATGAAGGAAATACAAATCCAAACTACAATGAGATGGTGGTTTTAATAAACACTAGGATGGATATAAAATAATTTTCAAAAAAACTTAAAATTATAAGAATTGGTAAGGATGCAGAGAAATTGGAACCACTACACATTGCTGACAGAAGTGTAAAATGGTTAGTTACTATGTACAATAGTTTGGTAGTCCCTAAAAAAATTAACATAAGTTTGGTGTGGTAGCAGAGGCCTGTAATCCCAGAGATTCAGAAGGTTGAGGTAGAAGAATTGAAAGTTAGAGGCCAGCCTTAGCAACTTAGCAAGGCCCTAAGCAATTTATAAATTGTGAGACCCTGTCTCAAAATGGCTGAGGATATAGCTCCGTGGTAAAGCACCCCTGAATTTAATTCCCAGTAAAAAAAAATTAATATGGAATTATTATATGATCCAACAATCCCAATCCTAGGTATATACTCAAGAAACCTGAAAATAGGTATTCAAATACTTACACATGAATATTCATAATGGTACTATTTGCAATAGCTAAAAGGCTAAAGAAGTAAACAACTCATGTCCATTAACAGTGAGTGACTAATATATTTCTCATGGAATATTATTTCAGCACAAAAAAGAATTACTATAATGACACATGTCCAAAATGTATAGATCTCAAATATGTCATACTATGTGAAATCAGACATGATATGTCTATAATTATATTATTATATTTATATAAAATATCCAGAATAGACAAATCCATAGCTATGGGAAGCAAATGAGAGGTTACCAAGGGGCAAAGAACATTAATGGAAAGTGATTACTTAATGGGTTTGAGATGCTTACACTCATGTTTTGAAACTAAACAGTAGTGATGATTGCACAACATGGCAAATTTTCTAAATGTCATTGACTGTTCATGTTAAAATGGTTCCTTTTTCTGGGTATGGTAGTATATACCTATAATCCCAGTGATTCAGGAGTTTAAGGCCAGTCAGGGCAATCTGTGAGAAAATGTCTCAAAAAAAGACTCAAAATAAATAGAAAGGTGGGGCTGGGGTTATAGCTCAGTTGGTAAGCACTTACCTAGCATGTGTGAAGCACTGAGTTCGAGCCTCAGCACCACATAAAAATAAAATAAAGGTGTTGTGTCCATCTACTATAAAAAAACATTTTTAAAAATAATAATAAATAAATAAATAGAAAGGGTTGGTGGGGAGGGATGCCCCAATTAAAAGTAAGCTATGGAGAGGGAAGATGGCGGCGAGGGGAGTGCATTACCCCCGTGTGCTGCTTCACTGTGTGGGAGTATGACAAGTCAGGACGGCTAAAGGATATCTTGTTAGGAATTTCCAGCAATAGTGGGGTGCGCCGGAACCTGGAGGAAGGATTTCCATCGCATGAGGATCGGCTACGGGGACTCAAACGCGAGAGGTTTGTCGCACGGAGGGTAACACTGCTTATTCAGCAAATCGCCCCGCGGCTAGAGTCTGCAAGGCGCGCTGGGATAGAGACGCAGGGTTACAGCGCTGCAGTTTCTGCCAGACGCGCAAGCACCGCACTCAGGGCTGAATTCTGGGTTCGAGACGGGGAAGGAAGCGGTCCATCTCGGTTCTCCACACCGGTCAGACCACAGAGGAGGCCAGCAGCCACCATGTTGGTAAACTGACGTCACCACACCTGTTTTTGACTGACCGCAGCTCATTCAGCCATAGAACAGGTAATTTCAGGCTGCAATTCGCCTGCGGCTTGCAGACAGATTGCTAGGGTTCAGCGCCTGGGGGCTTCTTAAAATCTGATCTTATCGGAGTGAACACGGAGCGCGGGGCGGACGAGTCCCGGCTCCCGGAACCGTCCCGGATCCGCCCTGGCTCCGGGCTGCGGAGCCTGCGGAGGCTGCTTCTTGGACCCTGCTAATATCAGAGCAAACACGAAACACCAAGAAGCCGAATTCCAGCTCCCGGAACTGAGCCCGCGGGGACTGCTTCTTGGAGCTTACACTTATAGGAGCTTACACCGAGCACAGAGCGGCCGAGTTCCGGCTCCCGGAACCGTCCCGGAACCGCCCTGGCTCAGGGCTGCGGAGCCCGCGGAGGCTGCTTCTTGGACCCTGCTACTATCAGAGCATACACCAAACACTAAGCGGCCGAATTCCGGCTCCCGGAACTGAGCCCGCGGGGGCTGCTTCTTGGAGCCTACACTTATAGGAGCTTACACCGAGCACGGAGCGGCCGAGTTCCGGCTCCCGGAACTTCCCTGGACCGGGGCTAGGAGCCCGCGGAAACTGTGTCTCGGTCCGGGTCCTGCTGAGGACAGGTCAGGACTCACCCATTGCTTGGGTTGCCTGGCAAGGGGAACGAAATGCTGCCATTCGCATAGGATACCAACATGGCAGAGATCTGATGTCAGCAGAAAGCGGTGGAGGAGAGATCTTCATCAATACCAGCGGTGACATAAGCAGTTGGTCTCCTGGTAAGGGGGGTGAGGCTCAGTCACCCGAGTCTCCTCAATTTGTCCTCGAGCCAGAGGGAAGGAGCCGGGCCGCCGCCAGCCCCCGGAGCAGGCCCAGCGGCTCGCCAGCGTGGTGACCGCGTGACCCCAATTGGAGAGGGGGCGGAGCGGAGCCGCCACCCACACCCGCCAGGTGGGCAGACCCACGACCCAGTAGTACATGGGCGTGGTAGGAGGGGCAGGGCAGAGCCGCCCTTCGCGCTTGCAAGGTAAACAGACCTGTGACAGCCTGGCGGGTCAGGCCCAGTGGCCTGCCAGTGTGGTACACACGTCACCCCAACTCGAGTAGGGGCAGAGCAGATCCTTATCCCACACCCGGATCAGGCCCTGCCGGTGTGGTGGTCACGTGACCCCAATTGGAGTGGGGGTGGAGCGGAACCGCCACCCGTGCCCGCAGGGTGAGCAGACCAGTGATCAACCTGCAGATCAGGCCCAGGGGTCCGCAGGCGTGGTAGGAGGGGCAGGGCAGATCCGCCGCCCGCGCCTTCAAGG